AACGAAGGATTGCAAACAAAGGATCAGTGAATGGTATTTGCGTTAGACCAAATCCGGGACCAAATGTCTGTCAAAGTAAGGACAATTCTTGGTCAACAATAATAATATTAATACATTTTCTTTTTTTACTATTTTCAATCCAAGGAAGGATTTTTAGTTTTACTTTATATTTGATAATTAAAGTTTTTATTATTCTTTGCAATAATTGCGGTAAATTTATCAAGTCAAAATTATATAAGTCTTAATTATTATGCTATCAACTGGACTGAGAATTTATTATATTTTTTGGTCACGGCAAGAATAAATGAAACTACATATTCTATATTGTATCATTAAACCAAGAGACTACACTAAAAAAGAACCCCGAGTACACGCTGACAAGCGTCTTGTTAAAATCTCATTTTATGCGAACACTGTTCCTCGTTATTCACACAAAACATAAGATTCTTGCTAGAAAATCGTTCAAGTAAACTTCAGGCTATCAAGTGATTCTTTTCAAGTCGATTTTAACGTATTTTTCGTTCGCGAATGACCGAAACTTGACTCTCAAATTCCGGGAATAGTCCTGTCGTTTGTAGTCCCGCTGTACAGGTGTACCAGAGCGCTGGGCTCAATCAACCGGAACTGACCAATGTTTTGGGAATTTTAAAAGTTTAGTGATCGCTTTTGCAACAGTCAAAACGGCACTCCAATATTAATTAAGGTCTATAACAGGACTTTCTTGCCAGTTTCAATAATGTGTACTTATCTCGTAGACTGTAAATTTCGATTATTGATGTGTACTTGTTAGCCTGCGTGGCGGCTCTAGGGGAGGGGGGAGGGGGAAAACGGAAGGGGAGGGGGTGGGGAGGCTCCCCCTCCCCTTCCCTTCCCTATGTACTTGTCGATAAAGACGACAAGCCGAATGGCGTCGAAACAACGTAGTCTCCGTAGTACTACAACTGAACCAAAAGCTGATGGCTTGAAATGGTTATGCAAATTATTCCCGTTGGGAATKGTCAATACTGTAAATTTCGTAACCTTTCTAATCGATGTTTTGGTTTTTAATTCATATGAAAACGGCAGTGCTTGGAAAACTTCTTATATCTTAGGTTTCGAACTACAACTATTACCACTACTACTACCGTAAAGCATGTGTATTAAAGAGTTTGACCCAAAAGTGCAGTTCTTTGAATCAAAGTATGAAATAAGCCAGATAAATACCTCGAACGTCGGCAATAAGCCTATAAAGCCCTCGGGGCCTCGTGCTTTATATGGCTTATTGCCTCCGTTCTCGGCATTTATCTCTTACATACAACACGGCCGCTCATGTTGTAAACATTACTTACAACATCTTCACGGTTGTGATTTCTATTGTGTTTTCCTCATTAATTATTCATGAGTTTTACAATACTGAATTTAAACGCTTTCACAAAAAGCACTAAATATATACTTCCAACAGAGGTAGAGTGATCGCACTTAAACCGTGCAAATGTCCAAAATATAAGTAGTACTAATTACTCGGGGTTCCTGTGGAACCGCCGAGTTTAGGTTTCGGCCTTCTTGGTAGTCGCATTTGGTACACAAATTGTCTCGGCCAAATTAGAATGCACTGGGTACGAATCACGTGACATTCACAACTTCCATGTGCTATCTTATGGTGTCGTCGAGGTGTCGTCTTTATACGAGATGGAAGACATGAATTCAACTTCAAACACACTCAAATCTCTTACAAATCCACACACCATTCGCCGTATAGCCACACTAAAAGATGTCGAGCGTTTTTCGAAAGGGCATTTTGAGAGATACCGCGAATTTATCTTGAAATTTATCTTGCAATTTATCGTGAAACTTATCGTGAAATTCGAACCAATCTTATCAAAAGCGAACTCTATACTATTAACTGATTCTACAGGCTCTGAAAATACAAAGGACTTCTCTAAGAATGCGAACAGAATTCACTGAGGAAAAACCGACGATTGCAACTATTTTATTTAGCAGAGAGGATAAAAGACTCTGTCTTTATAGCCTGCCACGTGACTATCAAAGTGAGGAGAGCTTGACAAAGACTATCAATTCTTCCTTAATGCTAACTACATTGCTTCTGTTATTATTTTTCATTCAAGGAAATATTTTTTGCTTTACCCTTATGATAGTATTGATATTAACTTTATTAGGGTTCAATACAGTCCAATTCTTCGATAACTACACTCAAAATATTGTCACTTCATCGTTTAGTGATTGTGATATCTTAGATAAAACTATTTGTATGACTGTTTATGGTGTATACAATGATGCAGAAGTTACAATAAACATTACAAGTACTACAAGATCTCGTTATTCAAGGTTTGTTTATTATAATTATCGACAT